GCCACGTCAGAGCCACTTTGTTAAAAGATTCAAGATCTAGGCAAGAGCTGTCTAACAGAGTTTTATTTGACTGTAATGACTCCTAGAATTCAATTTAATGTCGCGCACAGCACTGGTTCAGATCCGCAAATGACTTCGTTAAAAATACAACATTAAAATACATAATCTACAATGTATTTAAATATTTTCCAGATATTAAGTCTTAATATTATTATTCTTCGACAAATCCTTCAATCCAGGTACGAATCCCGTATTAAATCAGTCGTTCATGAATGCATTTCTTTGTAAATTATTATTGTAACAGCCAGACACAAATGTATGTGGATTCTCACAGAGGACTCTTTGAAATTATTATTATCGTTTAAATTGGCACATCTGCATCCACGTTTAAGCAATAAAGTAGATCGAGAAGGGGTATAGGACAGTATTACCACGCTACAGTATTTTCTGCGATTTCAGTTAAATCGAAAGATGTTTCATACAGATCTCTACAGCTTACACGTTTGGTCTATCAATTTGAAGCAAAACAAATAAACGAAAAACATTCTATAATCGTCGAACAGTACTTCATTATTCATGCATTCGAACTGTGTATATTGTCTCTATACTTACAATTTACCGCTGTTAGAAACATGTTTCAAGACAACCACCTTCACAAAACAGTGTCACATTGAAGAAAAATAATGGACGCGATACATTTAAAAACAACTTCCGGGAACCAGCGCACAACTGCATCCGGGTCATTCAATTATTTAACCCTTTCGAGGACGGAAAGCCTCGGCGCCAAAAGAAAAGAAGAAAACCGAAAGTTACGTAAAGTGGGACCCCTGCAAACAGTGACTCACAACTCAATTGTCACAATACACCTGAAACCAGTGATTGTCTGACTTTGTTTCTGAGATATTAAGGATTTTTTTAGATTTTGTTTGTGCCAAATTAGTCATATTATTGTGCTTTTGTAATTCATAATGTTACATATTTTTTTTAAGGACGTTATGTCACTCAGGTACCCACTGACAGTCCCATACCACTTCTTGGCACATCAGTGCACCAATCTTGAAGGAAGAGTTAAACTGGGGAAAGAAGGGACCTACAGATGTTCCAAGGAACTCCAGATGCTCCCCTAATCTGTGAAGCCTGGCCTGGACACACATGGTCACCTCTGGAATTGGCTCACAATCTTTACCGATGCTGTAACTACATGAAGCAGCTGAATTAATTCTGAGTTTTACTAAAATATATTGTCCATGTCTTATGTAGAAAAAAAGGCTTCCGTACTTTGCTATGCAGCATGACAGTGACCCAAAACACACAGCCAGAGCAACCAGGAAGCTCATCAAGGGAAACATGGAAAATCTTATACAGGCCAAGTCTGTCTCCGGGTATAAATCTAAGTGAGTAGCATTCTACATAGTGAAGAGCAATCTGAACTCAGAACACCCTAGAAATAGACAAGAACTCAAAGTGGCTGGTGAGCTCAGTAACCAGTAGATGAGGTAGACCAACAGGCATAAAATGGATTCCTGTGGCACTCCAGTGTTACATGTGGCAATATAGTGGCTCTTAAGATAATGTACTTTCTTTCCTGTTTCACACCCATGCACTACCCTGGAGTCCTCTTGCTTTTAGTATAGGAATTATTTCATTTAATTAGGAACATTATCAAAACACTGAAAATGTATCATATACTGCAGTGTCATCTGTCCAAGTTGCTTGTTTGAAGGTTACTAGCACGTTAGCTTTGCAGGACCTTGCCTTTCTAAACCTTTGGTAGAAGGTTGTTGAAATGCCATGGTTTTGTAAGTATTCTTCTAACATAGAGATAACTAATGTTTCTTAATCCACTCTAACAAGTATGACTGAGTTTGCAATGTTTCCCTGGTTCAGTTCTGTCCTCCTTCTTGTGATGCTACATCTACAGTTCTACACTGAGATCTGGGTACAGCTCCCATTCTAACTGAGAGCTGAAATATCCTACCTAGGAGTGTGTGAATAGCATCCTTCATTTCCTTAAGTAAGACTGGGAAACTACCATCAGGCCCTGGTGACTTATTCATTTTTAACTGTCTAAGCCCCAGTAGAACACCAGTATCAGATATACTAAAATTGCTCAATATTGATGGAGCTTGTTCTGTAACAAGTGACAAGTTAAATATAACAAGTTAAACATATTATAGAATGTCTCCTTCTTTTACATTTTTTAGATTGTGGTAGTCACTATATTGCCATACAATAAATGGCTTATGACCTTATTTAAAAACATTGGAGCAAAAGAGTTCCTCTCATGCGGAGAAGGGACACTTCTTTACACAAAGGTCTGTGGGAGTTTGGAGCGAGCAGTCCAGGCATGTTATCGAAGCCAATTCCCTGGCTTTGTCTGAGAAATGGCGGGATGAGATCCTGCGATCCACAAGCTTCTCACTACCTAACAGACCAGACGGAGTGACTGAGCCTCTTGTTGGTAACCTTTCCTATGTTCTGATTTAAAAATAATTCGGAAACGCGTGTGTGTCTCTTGCACGCCGCTGACGTCAGCTAGAGTGCCGCTCGGGGAAGTGAAAGAGAGGAAGTCAGGACCCTGGAGAGGGGGCTGGAAAGAGGAAGGGGGCAGCGGAGAGGAAGCGATACTGAGGAGAGGAAGATGGTTAACCTGTCTCAGAAAGAAGCAGCTGGGTGGAGCACCGCGTCACACGCCGCCAGCAGGGCCGAGAAGCTTCCGTCACCAAAGATCCTTCGCTGCCCACCTCTCAGACCTTATGTGCGCCA